TATTGAGGAAAAAAAACAAAACAAACTAATTTAATCATAATAAAATAACATTTTAAGAGTTCATTTATAATAATAGTGGATTACGACAACGCAGAGGTCATTCAACTCACATTTGTCAGTAGGTTGCAAGTTGCTTAATGATTCAAGGATCTCGACTGGCTATTCCTTTCTCGGTCTCAATTATAAAGCAATACAGATTGTAATTGTATGGTAATACAAATCTAACTGCCTAGCCATATGGCTGACTGGGGTTCCTTGGAATCCTCCGAGACAATCGCATCCCCACAATCAGTTTTATTCACAGATCAAACTCGGCACAAACCTGAATGACTGAATGAAAACCTGAATGATTCAGCAAGACGCAATATGTTTAGGTTTTCCCCCCAAACATTTTCAAGTCAAGCACCACTGAGATGGTGGAGTGTGCCATAAATTACTTAACATGCTCTTCTTAGCTTTCCACCTCAATTCCTAGTGCCTATTTTAACAACCAATCAGGGATATTTGCAAACTCGTTTTGCACATTGTTTCTATAATTATAACATTCTATCATACTATAATATTGTATCATCCACAACTGGATGATAAAAGCACATGCAGATCAAATCCCCAAGAAAGGCTCACCATCCCTTTTAACAATTCTCAAGTCCAAACAAACAAAAAAATATAACCACGACTGGAGGACAATGCTAAAATATTGAGATTCAAGTGAAAAACCTTTTTGTAGCTTCTTCAGATTTTCCAGTGACCTGCATTAAATCTATCTCCTCACTGGTAAGCTATGCGTCTTAAGTCGTCAATCACAGTTGTCTTTAAAAGTGTACGTCTGAGTTTCACCCTGATAACCGTCTCGCACAGGATGCATCTAAATCTCATTCTATTTCACACAGCGCTCATCGTAACACTTGGTACAGCTCAATCTCAAACTGCGGTCTGGCACAGCACATGCCTAAATCTTGCTCGCAGGTGTCTTGTGCTGCATGCATCTACTTTTTCCTTCAGTTGTTTCACACTGCCGATTTAAATCAGTCACTCAGCTCTTGTGCAAAGCCTTTCCTAACATCTTTCATCAGCGCTGTTTTGCAAAGTGCTCGTCTAAATCCTTTTTCACAGTTGTCTCGTGCAGTGCGCATCTAATCCTCTAGCTAGACTTCTAAATTGCTCTTTACGTCTGCCTGACGTACCACACATCTAAAAAAAATCTTCATAGCCTCCTCACACAGCACGGATCCTAATCTTTCTTTACGGCGGTCTAGCACTCTACGTTTTCTGACCTTCCACAGAATAAAAGTGAAGGTGGCGCATACTGCTTACTCTTATTTCTTGAGTGCAAAGTTTCAAGGCCCATCAGTCCATCACCAAAGGCACAGAACAAAAATATATGTAAATACCATCCTTTTAAATACTTCTGTCCACAGGCCCAGGTCATGATTGTGCATTTACTCAGCATAGGGTGCGTTCAGGTAACCTACCCTTAGTGTAAACGACAGAGAAGTGTTTCATAAGACTGTATTCACAGCCCAAGTGGGTTACAGCAATATTAATTTGCAAAAGTACAATATAGTACATTTCCTTGAAATTTCTCTTTATAACACCATAAAATAAAGGATTTGGTTCAGCTACATATGATATGGGCTTCACACTACATTGCAGGTAGTCTACTGGGCAGGTGTTGATACAGCAATAATCCCGTTTTCAATCCCGAAACCTAGTATAAATTCTTGTTCATTCATTCGCCTAATTTGCCACAGTTGCTTTTGTTTTTTCTCAATTTCATCAGAGGTGTAAAAGCTATAACCTTAAAAGTATAGAATTCAAACTAGGTATGTACAGCCAATACATGAATCCTCTAATTAAGAGACAGAGATTAAGAGACAGAATATATATCTTTCAATGGTAAAAAAAACAGTATTCTGCTGAAATAAAACCACTTATGATTTCAGGAGTGACAAGATGCTTAAACTACCTGGCAGAGAGATGCTTTAGAAAAGCTCTCGAAATTAACACTACAATGTACTTTTTTTTCTTTTCAGTCTAGATGAAGACTTTTTAAATTACTCAAAAATAATTTTGGGGTACTACCATGACACTCACAGTACAACTCCTATCATCAACCCTTTAAATACTAAATTAACACAGCCTAATACAAAGGATGGTGAGACACCGGATTTGGAAGAGTGGAATATCGCAGAAAGCCAGGATTTTTCACGGCAAGCCTTGCATGTCATCCCTAAACTGATTCCAATAATCTCTGTTTGCATCAGGCTCAATTGCTTTAAAATTACTTCCAAACTCAGCCCTCTGTGAAGTTAATTGCGTGTACATCTTTCCACACACAGTAAATACCCTGCCTCCCACGGGGCTGCCTGTCTATATACAAATCAAGACAAACTCGCAGCGCAGTGCTGGGCCTGATTAAAAATACCCAGGTCAGAATTTTCAAATTAAAGAAACAAGAAAACAGATATGGACAGCGTCTTTTTTTATACAGTTTTTGTTGTTTCAGATTTGTTGCTTAACGAACTCTGTGCAAACATATGATCCTAATTAGGCTTTTTCGGATTCATATAAACTTTTGCTGTGGTTTGATGTCCCAGTGCAGAAGCAAACTCAGGAAATCTGAGAAAATCTCAGCCTCTACACCATATTAACAAAGCTCACTATTGGTCTTTTAAACATAACAGTAGAACCTACAAGGCAATCTACTAACCAGCAGTGGTACACTGTCCAAAATGTATTTCAATATGTCAATTTCAATTCTTATTTAATATTTATCTTTCGTGTTCTAGTACAGTTTATGAATGTGGATATAACAAGTCTCAGCATCACAGAAACAGAAACACTTTTCATTCACAGCTCCAGCAGATTACAGCAGTAGTAATTTGCAACAGTGAAATACAGCATGTTTCTAACAACCACTGGTTACTAAGCAATAAAATAAAGGACTCAGTCACAGCTAAAAAGCCTATTTAAATAGATTGTCAAAGGAGAAAAGTACATTTGCAGCAAACATCAAGTGCAACGGCACACTTTTAACAAGCCAAGGGCTGCTCAGTCACTGCTTACAGCAGTCTCTTTCCTGCAAACAGTACAGATACAGCAACCTATTTGTGTGCTAATGCAGATAGGCAACATGCAGTCAGATTTGCTAACATCTCCCAGCTGCTCACACAGAATACTGATTTCCTTTCTTCGGGCATCTTAACCTTTGCTATCCTCCACACAAGAGAAATGGAACTATGCTGCAGCCCTTTGAGTGTTAGGGGTGAGGAGCAAATACCTTCTGCAAGCCGAATGCTCCCTACAAAGCAGAGATGAAGACATTAGTAAAGGCAGCAGCTTTGAACCTTGAACTCGACTGATCTGGGATGGAAGACCTCCAAGGAAATCCCGGTTGTGGCTGCAAGTGGTGATGGTTGACTAGTAGGTGGTGCTCATCCCTCTGGAGCAGAATTCCCAGGCCAAATGTGCTAGCGTGGCGTTGGGGGACACTGAGCTGTACGAGATGCCATCCTTCAGATCAGACATTAAAACAGCTACTTGGTCATTAAAAAGATCCCATTGCACTGTTTGAAAGAGTAGAGTATTAACCCTGGTGTCCTGTCTGAAGTCTGCTCCCTCTACACTTAGCAGTTTCACTTCCCAGCCTGATCTGAATTAGGCACAACACTCTGCACTTCCTTATTTTCTTCAAGTATTTTTTATCTTTCTTTAAAGATCTTAACCAAATGGTACCACTTAAACTGTAAAGGATGGTATTAAAAACAGACTGAAATTCAAGATGTTATTTCTGCCTTTTCCTTTAACATTTGTCAATGTATTATTCTAGAAAATAATCCAACTACTGCTTCCTATTCAGGGTCACCAGAAAGCAATGGGTGCAAGGTGGAGTCCAGGACAAATCAATTAAACTTTATACTGACATTGAGATAACCTGTACATTAACTTTGGCTAATACCTCTACCGATCATGGCTCATGAATAGGAAATGTTTCTTGTTTATGTCCACAGATATAAGGATATACATCAGAACAATGCAGCTGAATGAAATAAAAGGATACTTTCTCCTCAGCCACAAGCTTGATACCAGCTTCTTAAACAGCTTCTTAAATTCTTAAACGTTACCTTGTAAATTCAAACAAACCTAATCAAAACTGTGTACATTTACCGTACTGTACCTCCTGAGATAAACCACAAGGTGGCACCAAACAATTTTCTATTGCTACTGTAGACAAGGACAAAAAAGTTCAGAATCGAGAGACATTAGAAAAAATATTTTTTTTTAATTTATGCATATAGTAATCACTACTGAAATCCCCATCTCAATCAATTTATCTGCCTTTCAATTCCCACAATTATCGGTCATAAAACACTATGTGATTTGCACAAGATTGTGTCTCTGAAAACGTATTCAGGAAATGAACTCTCATGCTGTATTTAAACTCGCTGAAGTCAATCAAGCTACGAGCTTGATTTTGTGCACGGCTTAAACAAACTCAATGATCACACTACAAATTCAGCTCAGAACAAACAAAAGAATGGAATAGTGACCTGTACTTTCAGGAAACACTAGTGAACTACAGTGAAACCTGTGGGCATGTGAACAACGCTGGGGATAATGACCAAGTCCTCTCAGTACCTTTTAGTCAATTCGAATTCACAAACTTTACTAAACACATCAGACGGTCTCTGTAATCACTCCAGTGCTGGAAACTGTATGTTGGTAGATTTCAGATCCCAATAAATACAATAATATGAGCATTTTAGATGTGCATTAACAGTTATTACAGATGTTATGGAAACTAAATTATATATCTTATATGAAATTTGCAAGTAAAGTGCAGTCTTTTCAAATGATTGCACTACTGGATGTTGATACATGTGGCATTTTACCTTTGACAAAGCCTGAGGGAAAGGCTTTATATTTGTCAAATATGACTCTTTCAGATGCAGTCCAAAAAATGCTGGATAATGTAAATGTCCAAACAAAACTGTACTTACCCCAGGGTCTACCTGACTTCTATCTGCAATGTCAATGGGTACTATCTCCACACTTTTCCACGTGTCGGCATCCAGTTCATGAACCTACAAATCAGAGAAGAATGTGGCCTTTATGCAGCAGCAGACATGGGCTAGACAGCACACTCAGCACCCAGGATGTACATCCAAGACTGGCACATAAGACCTTCAACAACACACCTCACCAAGCTGCCAAAAAAAAGACTATTCATCCCAACACAGAGAAGCAGAATTCAAGGTCAGTAGCGAATTGCAAATTTCTGGGTCTTTTATAGTTTAAAATACTGAACACATATTTGGGAGAAAAACTGTTTTGTGGGGGGTCCTTCTTCCTAGACGTGCTCTTGTGATGTTTCCTTGTACTCGTAAAAGCATTTTTAATAATATACCTACATCATAACTGTGGCTTTTACCACACCTATGATCGTAATTGCTTAATCACTTACATAAGAAGTCAAAGCACCTGTTGTCTGGTCTTAAATCAGCTGCCAAGAACCTGAAGGCCTCCATCTCTCTAGGAATCCTTGCTAGAATGTTTTTAGGGTATGAAAAGTTCAGAGAAAATCAACGTAATCCAGCTTGACCTCCCTGAGAGTGAACAGATTACTTCAAGAAAGAAAATGACTCCCTGCAGAGAGACACCACAGCGTCTCTCTGATCACAGTGAAGTCCTGAAAGGTACTTACATTGTCTAGGGCCCCCATGTCAGGTTTGTGCCATGTTTCAATCTTAATAAAGAAGTCATCTTTCATATATTCGTTCTGAAAAAAAAACAAGGCAGTTAAGCTTCACAAGCCATAAAAGGTGTTACTCTTATTTCCTGAAAAAATCTCTTTGACTAACAATGATAAAACGTGTTGAGGTACAATAGTACCTTACTACTGTATCTTATCTAATAACACCTCCCAATGATGGACAGCAATATTTTCTATGCTCTTTAAATGTCTGGTGCAAATATTTTCAAAGACATTACAGGTCTTGTACTGTTATGTTTAATAGATCAGGGTGGACAAGCTCATCTTTCTAGAGTAATGGTTTGGTATTTTGTAACACCCGTGAGTCCTGATTTATGTGAGAAAATCCTTAAAGATCTTTAGGTCACACTGAAACTAAATACTCACAATGCAGGTTCATATCTTTTGGCCTGAAAGTCCTGTTCTGGGGTGCAATCAAAAGCTAAAAACCTACATATGCAGATTCTGGGCACACAGCTACAGTCCAGACCTCTCCAGACTTCAAGAGAATTGTGTATTCAATTCAAATCCCGCTATTCCTTTATTATGTACAGGAAAAACAAACTAAGGTAAAAGGTACATTATACACCCGTTCTGGCTATTTAATTAAAGCTGCCATAGTGATGTAGTGTACAAACAACAGAAAGAAAAAAACCCAATTATGTTCATACAGTTACCCATTTAATAGATTCCTCTATTGCTGTTGTTTTCTCTGAAAGAAACTTAATTGCCTGCAAGGACTATTTATCATAAATATGAATTACTGGTGAGCCAGAGCTGGAGAATCGCCTTGACATCATCACATCAGACCTACAGTGCTGCAGTGCACAGGTTGAGACCAGAATGTATTTACTGGTCCTCATTTTCCCCAAAACAACAAGAGATGCAGTATAATGTCAAAAAAAGCCTGAAGCCTAAGTTATCATATTTAAACTGAACATAAAACCTTAGAGGAAATCCCCTGTAAGGGGATTTATTTCTAATCCCCTAACCCTAACCCCAAAATGTCTGAAAGCACAGCTCCCTGCATCATGTTACAGTGAACAAAATTATCAATTATCCCCTTTCTCATATTAACATTACCCAAGGTGTGTGTGGGGTGTTTAAAAGTAACTTGTTTGTATGTGATAATACAGAGAACAGATCAGGTATTATATTCAAAACCACAAAAAAACTAACAATGTTAGGACACCAAAAATTACAATGGCAACATTTTAACGCCATTGTGAATGTTTTTGCAAACACCATCATCTTCCCTTTTCCCTGTTGAATATTGTTGAATATGCTGAATAAGGTCTCCTCCAAGATACTGCCACAAATGTTTGCATTTAAATATAAATGATGATGCATATAAACTCCATATAATCTTTGTATTCATATAAGAATCAAAAATACCAAAGCACTAAACAAAAAGAAACCAGGAGAAATATACTTTGTATATTATTTATATATTACATGTTAGACCTCATCATTTTTGGGGCTGTCCAAGCTAGAAAGGTGAACAGTCACAACACATACTTCACAGCACCCTGTTTAATAAATCTGCAGATGCACAAGCTCAAACCAAGTGCTCAAGACTGACATGGAATAGGCTTAAACACGGCCAAGAAGCTATGCCGGCTCACTGTGCCAAGAAAGCAAAAACACCAAGACTAAAATCATCTTTGAGTCATTGATTGCTTTTTGGAGAACACAATACACAATCAGTATTAACATAAAAAAGAATCTTCTTCCATAAACAGAAACAGATTCTAAACCTTAGAAGAGTTTTAAATTAATTATGCTTTGACAGTTCGACCTCAGCATTACTACTGAAGCATTTCAGAAGAAGTTCCAGAACACATTCAGCCTTTAAATGACTTAATTGCATGAGGCATATCTTTACACAAAGGGTTGAAGTGGAAGAAACAATCTATCTGTTTCTGAGACAGATAACATGAGAATCTATATGAAATTACTCTCATTTTAACCATAATTGCTTTATATACACACTATAGCAGAATACTCAGGCATTGTAAAAATGCAAAAAAATAGTGTCTCTGCTATCTGTATGAAGTCTTTGATAGCACAAATGGAAACAACCATGTTGTAAATTCATAGATAATCAAAAAGAATACATAGTGAAATGCTGAAACAGAGCTGTCTAATAATTAGTAGGACACAGCGTAACTGAAACAGAGAAAAATAAAGTATACTAAGACTCCGATTATAAAAAGGCAACCTCAGGCAGATGAATGCTGATTGATACAGGTCACCAGCAATGGCTTTAGCAGTTGTGAAACAGAAATGGAACTTGCGCTCAATACAGATCACAACCCTCCCTCTTATTCCCTCCCACAGCTGTCCCACCTACCCAACTGGGGTGAAATATAAAAGCAGTCAAAGAAACAAAAGATTCTTTTCAGCATTTCAGTAGGCAAGACAGATTAGAGGCAGCACTCCACATCTTTAAATACATTTAAAAAATAAAAAGGAATAGTTGGATGGCTACTTACCGTCACAACTGAAGCAAATGGAACATCCATGCAATAAAAAAAAATAAATAAATAAATTAATGGAGGAAACACCACATATCAGTAGATATTATTCACAACATTAGCTGCTTTAAGACGAGCTATTTAGTTAAGGTAAATCTTACACTAAAACAAAAGAAAGTTTCGTCTTACATCTTCAAAAGCATTGCATATTTTTAATGTGATGCAAAATTTTAAAAAACTAAAATATGTATAAACTACAGTTTACAGTAATGTTAACTGACATCTAGTTACTATACAGCACAGGAATGGATTCCTTCATTTATACTCAATGTTTCTCAAAACTTTATTGCAGACAATTTTCACTTGACTGCGTAACTGGATTACATTTTTAGATAATCCAGTCAAAGCATTTTTTTCAAGATACAAAAGCAGAGGAATGAGTTGGTAAAATATTTGCATTTTACGAAAGATATTGCCAAGGTTTTGGGTACATTCTATTAAGTAGAGAAAAAAGAGGCAAAAGAAAGGCTGTAATAGGTCATGTAATGTTAATAAATGTATACAAATACCACTATCAAAGAACATTAAACACCTAGACTAAATTCCATCTTATAAAGATCTTCTCATCAGCTTTCACCCCATGCAGACACAACCTTTCCTGGCAGGCCTGTGATCTGATTGCTGTGCTCTGTGTTTATTGACCCCAATCTGCCTCTTTTAGTACAACTCAAAAATGGCTAAAGGCACATCCATGCACCTCTTCAAAACACTGCTCTCCAGCTTTCAGACTGGAAAGGCATCTTGTTTTAGCCTCACAAAATAACAGAAATAATATTATTGCCATACAGGCAGTGCTTAAATCCCGAGGGATATAAATTCAAAGCAGGCACAAAGACACCCTTAAGAGATGAAACCACACAGAGGGTTAATGCTACAGTTACAAGAGTGCTTCAATAAGGAAAGACACAAAGGTCTGCAGTCCCAGTATTTTTCAGTTTATGGTTATAACATCTTACCTATTTTTCAGTGTACTCCCCTGTACAGAAATGCTTTTCTCCCACCTTGCTGTGAGTTTTCACCATTTCCTGAGCAAAGTCTACTTTAGGCCAAAGTTACAGATCAATATGGGTCCCTTTGCAGGCTGCTGACTTCAAAAGCATCTAAACTTGAATTTTGTCATTATACATTTGGATACTTCTACTACACTTTACTGTTTGTGCAATCGTTTGCAACCATGCTTAGACTAAGGGAGGGAAAGGTACAGGGAGTAACATTCCCCCACTCCGAGTGTAATCATGGCACTCTTCCTGCTAAGACCTCACCCTCATTCTGAATTCCATCACACTGATCAGGTCACATTCTCCTTCTGCTTGCATCACGATCTTTAACGAGCATTCCTGGGACTCTTCGACCGATTCTCTATGGTACAGATCCTTAGAGGTGCCATAAAATTTGAAACCCAGCCAGCATACTCTAAGTTGGTGCTCTTTCTTCATTTTAAATTCTACTGTACTATACAGAAATGTAACCATCTGTAGACTTTATTGATGCCTTTCCCTTCACCAGGCAGTCCTTCAGCCACTTCACCCCTTTAAAGTCTCAATTTAACAAAGACATGCAGCAGGGGCCTCAAGTACGGCTATTCAATATGTGACCCTCTCAACCTAATACAGCACTTATTTAAGGAAAGCCATAACTATATTGATCCTTATTACTTCAAATAAATCAACTCAACAACTCTGCAGTCGAATGGAAAAAGGACAGCACGAAATCCAAAATTAAAAACACTTTGCTATGCACAGTATAATACCTTCTGTGTTAAGGTATTATACTCTATGTGCCTTGAAATCTGTTGGCTCACACTGTGACCATGGTGTGCGTGGATTTCATGCAAGTAGAAAGTTCTACACCAGTGTGTAATGGGTTCAAGTGTTACAAACTAGATTTGTGAACGCAGTAAAAGCGTGTGTTGAGCACTTACTTGTTCTGCAATAAGGATATGCATTCCACGCCTTTTCATGGAACACCAAGGCCCCCTCTGGTGCGATCATCTTTACAAATCCAGGAACTTTACTAGGAGGAAGGAAACAGACTATGAAGAAGCATTTTCTAACCTGCTAATTTACTATCTTAATTACAAAGCATTCTTTTGCCATTAGAAGTCTCACATTAATCTCTTACTCCTAAATGTAATCAAATATTTTTGAAATGTCCACTTCAGAAGAGTCAACGTCAGTGTAATTTCACATACAGATTGAAAAGCGAAGATATTTCCACCTTAACTTCACTAAGGACATCGTGCCCTTTCGTTTCTTCCTTTAAAAACAGCTTTAAGATCTGAAAGGGCAGGATGTCCCCAATATCTCAGCAGAAACGCAAAAGATCATTGATAAATTCAGATTAAAAGCCTAACAGGTTTTTAGTTTTAGACAATAGAGCTTTAGAGGTCCCCCCCCAAGAGCGACTACACCAGAATAAGAATTATTATTAATATACTGAAAAAAAGCTCCACATGCTTGTTATCAAAGTAAAAAGCAAATGTGCAGTCGCTCTTTAGAAAAAGCATTTTCAAGCATTTTAATTACCATAAGTAAAAAATCAATTCGCTATTATGTATGCTGTCTCAGTTAGCTGTGTCACATTAGATTCAAACACTTTGATTAGTGCAACAACACTTTTTATGAGAAAACATGAGTGAAATGTGATTAGCTACAGTAAAAAACGAAACAACAGTAACATCTACTGGTGGAAATGGGGAACTGATGAGAATAGATCATATATTTGTCACCACTTAAGATAATTCAGAAATTAGCACCAGTTACGTGTTCAAGAACAATTTCCCTATGCAGTTTTTAATAAATACATTCATTATATTTAATGTCTGCACACATTCTACAAATACATACTATTATCTTGACGCCTTGTTTCATTAGACGTACAAAACATCATAGTTCTACTTGTATAAAAAGTTGTTTGACAATAAACAAAAGGTCATCTTATGGGATGGAGAAAATCACAAATCAGAACCAAGTTCAGAATTTCTGCATTTCTAAGTAAAGATTGGCGAACACATGATCCCGTGAATTAAACCACAATCAAACATGCCAAATACGTCCAGTGGGGCTCAAACCTATGTCTCCATACTGTTGCTCTCGTGAGCAACAGGAACTTCCTTTGTCTCCCATGTCAAGAATCTTCGCAATTCACACAATTCCTACAATTACTGTGGCAATTCCTGACCACAGCTGACAAGCAACACTGACAGCTTTTCACTCTACTGTCCACAGGGCCCAGAACAGCTTCAGTATCTCTTGCATGTCCACATGCATACACACAACAAAAGTAAAGGGAATTAATAAGCATCATATGCATTCCAGCGGAAAGCTATACAAAAAAAACTTTAGTTATCTGTAAGACTGCTTCCATCTTAGTTAATGGTCCAAATACATCTTAAACCACCACTACAATTCAAATAAATACCACTTAGTCTTTATATTTAAATCTTCATTGATTCACACTGCAAGTAACACATTCTGAAATAAAGGAAGACATGTTGGCATATTAGGCCATATACATATCAAGTAGAAAAGTAGATGGTCATCTTATGAAATATAGCAAACCCTCAGTTTAATAGACTTTGAATTTATTGGACAAAATCTGAAATCTGACAATTGGAATGTTGTCTGTAAAGTCCAGTATTTCTGATTTTCCCCTCAATAATAGTAGGCAAATTGATTACAACACGTGTTCCTGTTTTGTATAATTTAGGGATTTTTTTTAAAACAAAGACTAAAATACTAACAATACAGAAAAGCTTGGTAAAATGAACAAATAAAACATAAAACTAAATAGTACAAATTAATAGTTTTCAAATTAAGAAATGTCATTGATTCCCTACAGGGGTAGATCAACGGCTTATGACAGATGTTTGGGTTTTATATTTATCAATAAAAAAGGGGGTCAGGAACAATGTTCATTGACTGTGTTGATAGCAATTGTAAAAAAGTAAGATAAAAGATCCAAAAAGCACTGTAATGCTATCCTTAACTACACATCCTTCTGTGGTAAATATTAAGTTGCCTTCTCTTGAGGTGAAATGCTTGATTAACATAGGTTAGGCTCCATAAAATTGAACATTTACCCCTCCAGGGCTGAGGAGACAGGACACAGCGGACATCAGTTTTTTCTCCGGTAAGCCAGAGGGAAAGTTCATCAGTGGCTGGGAGCAGATACCCCAGGAGAAACAATTTCTTGCATAATGTCTGCAATCTTCACACCATTTGAATGGCAGCTTCATTTAAGGGCACTTTTGGCATGTTACAGTATGGTCTGAGGCATAACTCTATCATTTCAAACCTCAGAAATTTGTTTTTTTATTTCAGGAGGACAGACACTCTTTCCCCAACTTCTTACCAAAGGGAAGATGAGCAATTACTGAGTAGGGGAAGGCAAAAAAAAAAAGAAAAAAAAAAAGAAGTCACTCATGGATTCAGCTATCTGTTATTTGACTACAAGGCCTACAAATATTTTAAAAATGTATATAATGTAACCCTTTATGCTGTATATTGTGTAATGTTTTGTTTAGTTATTTTAACAATGTAACAATATTAGATTTCTTAAAAATGAATAAAACTGTTTAGAGCAGAAGACAAACTGCTCCACCTGGCACAAGACTCTAAACTGCACTACAGTTTTAAAGGTGTAAATTGAAATATTGATATGGCATATTGACGCTTTGTTAAACTTAGGAAAGTGTTTATATAACACAGATCATATTGCGGTTTTTAAATTCTTGTGACATATATTAAACTTTGGCCAGTAGCTATCCCCCTGGAAACTTCACCATGATTCCTCAGCACTGTAAAAGCATTGTATGCAGGGAACAAAAGGACACATTTGCCACAAACGCCTCATCAGCAGAGCAGGAGGAAGAATTTCTGGAAGGTAAAGCAAGCAAGCAAGCACTTCTTTTACAGTGTACAAACATAATGGCGAGCTCCCACAGTGAGCACGTCTTCTTCACAGTCATGCCCTTTTCTAGAATCTGTAATTAAACAGATATGAAGCTCTGCGTGTTTCCAACCATCCTTTTTCTAAACAATGTTATTCAATCGAGTATTTCCACTCTGGAATTACAGTGTGCATTGCACAGGTTGACAACAGAAGTGCATCAAACGCCACTGTAAGAGATGTGCAGTTGCACCTCCGCTGCCAAAACATCACTCTGCCCATCACACTGAGCTAGCACCTCACAGAGCGGTGCACTCTCCATCTCCCCACAGCAAAGAACGGGCCAAAATCGGTAATATCGGGCATCTAGGCGTTATTGAATCAGCCTCCAGTCACTCTTTTCGTTTCCTCGAGTGCACAAAATCGTTACGCAGCTGCACTATAATTTCTTTCTTCACCCTTCGCCTATCACCTCTCTGTGTGCCCATTCTCAACTTGCTGTAGCTAGAGCAAAGAATGTTGGATTCGTGCCTACAGTAATATGTTTGTGTCCATGGCTATAAACAAAAGTGAACCTTCAAGTCTTTGGAGGGAACTGCCACATCTCATGAGAGCCGAGCTGATGCAAGACCATAGTGAAAGCCAGAAGCTCACAGCTTGAAGCCAAGTCATGGCACTCTCCTGTGCACCACTGACCGACCATCTGACAGCAGGTATTTCAGTGAATAGAAAAACGCTGCTAAAGTCACTGTGGTAACAGGGCATAAATGTTCTTTAGAGTCTCCTAGGAACATGAAGCCCAATATGGTTTGATTGGTGCCACCATCATGCCTTGTATGGGCCTATGACAACTAAAGACTGCTGCAACATTGGTGCTATTTATGACTTCTGTTAATGTAAAGAATGAATTAATGCACACATGGGTTCTTGTATAGAGAAGATTTTAAACTAAAACCTTCACTTACTTCCTATGTTGACATACTTTCCCATATCCTTCAGTGGACACAAGGTGGCACTGTACTTTGTTTTACACCTATTAAAACTGACACAAACCATAGTAAAAACTGATCGGCTCTGTGATGTAAAACCACGTCAAAAACAAAATGTAATCCTCTGACAAACACCTGGCTTTCTCTTTTCCTTCATGTTTAAGAATTTCATGTCATGAACAGGAAGACATTCAGACATTAACAGGAACATAACATATCTAGTGCGAACTGTGCTCTAATGAGGTATTTAAGAATCACTTTTTAAACAACTTTATTAATACTTTCAGATAATATGAATCATGAGAGGATTGTTTCCTGCCTCACTCTAGAGTGTCACTTCACAGGGCTAGCTTTTAACCTCGGGAAACAAAGCACACAGCTCAGCATGCACAAAGTGCTGTCACCTCTTGCAGAACAGGGATAAAGGAATGCCACTGGCTACATCAAAATTAGCCTTTAGCAAATCAGAAGCTAAATCATACATTTGTACTCATCACAACTGAGGGGTAAATGGATACAGCAAAGTAAAGGAAAACTTTTAGACTTTAGGAAATGTGCTTTAGTAGGCTCAAGACCTAAAACTGGGAAAGAAATTCACCTTTTAGCAGGACAATGACCCAAACTGCAAGGCCAAAGCCACCCTGGAGTGACTCGAGAACAAGAAAGCAGATATGCTAGGGTGAATATTAAAGTTAAAAAAATGTGTATGCATCACTTTGTCAATAAAAAAAACGGGGCATTACAGGAAGGCTCCAAATGCTTTTGCAAGGTACTGCAAGTCAACAAATTCTCATTTACAGTGACTACCAAGAAAGTAGCCATTTATATCGGGAAGCATGCCGGAGCTCTCCGAGTGAAGTATCCTGCTCAACTGTGCAGCAGCAGCATCTGACCCATGACTCTTCTACATCTGCCTGCTAGGGCAATTTCTACCGCACCCACATCTGAAAGCACGGCTCTTCTTGAAATACAAAATGTCTTTGTCTTCTGTGAAGAAATTCACATTGATCAATTCTTTCCTGCTTTAACGTAATATTTTGCACAGAAAAGCTGAAACATTTTATTGATTTCATTTTTTTCTTCACATAGGCACCCAGCCATTTCATAAAGCCCATTCAATTTCTTCCAGGAAAACAGAGCGAAGATAAGGTGGGTGGACGTAATGGGGAACATCAGAGAGGAAATATAATTGCTTTTATCACATCTCTAACAAGGGTCTGCGGCTCTGGAAGGCTGAGGTCCTGAAAGCTGCAGAGAAGGATGATTCAGACATCAATGAGATTCCTCCCTCCTCTCTCATGTTCCAGTTTCCAACTGACTCACTCCTCCACTACTGAGTCATCACGCACGTCAGGCATCATCTTCCTAAAGGGCAGCGCTCACACACGCCTGTCATGCAACCCACACTCCAGACCGAGATTTCCAGGACCCGGGGTACATTACAAACATATTTAATCACCATAAACTGAAAAAGACGCATTAAAATGTTTGGTGCTGTTCGAGATCTACTGTATATGCGTAGTGACAGTATAAATATTACGTTATGGAAATTTCTCCACCTGGCTTGCTTTAGAAGAGAGTGATTTTTAATTTCTGTGGCGCCCAAAAAGAAATTGTCAAGATACGGCAAACATAATGAACGCGATCCTAGTATACCAGAATATCAGGAACAGCGGGCAAATAAGAAAAGGATTATTTTAAAGCCTTCAAGTGGCCATGTCCTTCAAAGGATGAGGCCCACAGAGGCACCTCTGACTTACCTCTTTAAGTGGTATATTTTGTGTGTGTACTGGCCCTTCTCGCCTTCCTTCTCGTAGGGTTCGTTCTTCAGGACCTCGATGCCCTCACCGCCACCCGTCTCATTTTTACTCGCTTCTGCCACCGAGAAGAGCTGCCCAACTTGATACTGCCAGACAGAGAAAGGGGACATGTTTATGTGCCAGCTCGGGTCAACTATTTTTCAAACCTGGGTTTTTCCACAAAACACCCAAGTCACACAAGGAACGACACACAGGATGAGCTCCGTGACCCGACGCCACGGTGGTCAGGATTCGCACACGTCGCCAGCACAGGACTGCAATTAGCCGGCAAGCACTTTCTCAGCTCTCTTTTCCGGCAAAACCGCAACTGAGCAGGAAGAAAAAGGCTTGAAGTGACATCAGTGATCAGTGAGAGACAAGCCACTAGTTTCTCAGCAGATGTTAATTATCCTGACAGGCACTGTGGAGCTTGCCTGCATCTAATGACAAATCGGTCTGCAGGTGTTAAAAAAGAGCATTTCCATGTGTCTCCGCCATTCACAAGAGGGTGCAGGAGTCATTACCAGAGAGAACGGATTAAAATAACTGTTGATTCCATAATTTGGCAAGTATATAATTAAATACAGATTCCAACTATTTTTTAGAAATATAGAAAGATAGGCTTTTCTATATCCTACAAGATCAGAAAACGGATTACCAGTGTGAGCAATTTATTAAAATATTTAATTGTTGTTCTGGAAGTGATGGAAGAGAAGCCCATGCCAGTATTAACTGTCGACTAATCAATGTGCAGAACATGAAAAACGTTTGGTGCCCTGCAAGGGCTGAGCAGTACATATTGATCCATAAACATGAATATGCAAACCAGCTTCTGAAAATAATGCTTTAAGATATTTACAACAGTAATCTGATTAAAAGCCCTATGAAAATGTGCTTGCTGGGCCACTTACAAGGCTCTGCATTGTCACAGGGAAGGCACGTACCGCAGATCCAGCACAGCTGAATGGGATTTCAAGTTTCTGGCTTCCGCCGGACTAACAACCAACCTTTTGTTCTGTTTAGAACACCAATCCTGCAGCACAAAGCCGTCCGTTTGTTTCAATCCTTGTACTCCGTAAAAAAAAGGGGCATGTCATTACAGCTCTTTCAGATCCCTCACCACTGTCCGCAGGTACCTGGCAGAAGCGAGTGTGGTAAATGAGCCTCCACCAGCAGCCAGGAGTGAGAAGCGCATAGCCTCACCGTGGTCCGACTGCCACGCTGTACTGAGGCCACCAAGCAAGACAGGGCATTGGTGTTATATGACATGAAGCACAAGGGCCACTAACTCATCTCTGTTCGAGCCATGTAGAAGACTAGTATCCTAGACTGCAGCAGTCAATCAAGTATCCTTTACCCCTTCAATTACGCATGGTATGTCCACATTGCCAGGCTGTATTGAAATTTTGTACTACAGACTGGTTTTGGTCCTAAGAACTTCTGTAAATTTCTGAAAAACTGAAAAGCAACTGAGAACACTCCAATAGAAAGCTGCAGCTTCTACTGGACTTCATTGCTTACTAAGATTTGTTTTTTTTTTCTGAGCACAACAGTTTTACAGATAGGCTATTTCTGCCAATTCAACACTTTGCAATTTCCCTCTCATTCCTCTCTCTCACCCTTTGAGGGTTCTTGTGACGGTGCACTATTCAGGGAACAAGCAGCTTTCATGCTAAAAATAAAAATGCTCTTTTGGTCGAGCGAGGAAACAGGAATATTAACCCTCTGATGGCTGGAGACGAAAAATACATTCATGAGGTATGGGGTAATATTAAGCCTGCTGACTATGGCACAGAACCCAGACTGCAAAAAGGGCATCTTAAAAAATGGAACGAGACAGATTTCAGCCATGAGCACAATGGATGTCGTCATGACCAACTACAATTTGTTCTCCATCATGGTCGTGATTTCTCTTATGGGTGGGGGAAAAAAAATAATGTTGTCATACCCAATAAAAACAGCTGTAAATTTGTTAGTAGTTCGCTGCTCTAAAATAGCACAGTTTTAAGATGAGAACTAAAATAATATTAACCTTGCACTGCTTCTGTAGTTCTGTAATGGCCAGTGGTGCTGCCTAGAGATCTAAAGTTATTTAAGCAGCAGCAATTGTACTGCAGTAATGCAGTCTGGGCAGCAGGCAGAAAGCTCTTGTAACCATTTTGTACAGAATTCCAGGGTCCCCCTGGAGTCTACACCCTTATCAATCAAGTTAAAAATAGGCTACACTGTTCTGACTAATGCTTACAACACTAAGAAAACAAATTTTGCAGAAGGACTTCCATGGCAACTATGTTTATCTTGAAAAGTAAAGCATCCCAGTCTTGTGTGGAGAGCTAGATTGCATGTTAACCACTAACCTAAGCTAATATTGGCTTTATTACCAAGACAAAGATCATTAACTGAGTACAGTACTGCGGTCTCACTGTTTGTGGACAAATGCCACCTGGAAGGGAGACACATTAAGAAAAAGGAAGCACATTTGGCAGCATGTGCCTCACAAAAAAAAGAATATAAAATGAACATCCTGTGTGAAAAATTCCACCGTTCTCTCTGACATACAGGACATGCCGGTGGGCGTCACATGAGGAGTGCAAAAACCACTCTTGGGGTATCCTGGGGGTCCCCACCCACTTTCCGAAGCCAAAGCATCTCATTTTCTTTAGAAAATCCTTTCCTGGGAAATCAGTAACCTACATTACAACAAATCACCTACCCAACACGGCAGAAAACCTTAGAAATCTAATCTGTACAGAGCAGGTAGGAAACTCCTTTTCAGGTGGCATTCATTTTGGACACCCCTACCTTTAAATCGTGTTTGTTTTTTAATTTAAAACAACTTGCTAATATGTTCTACAGTTCCATGAGTATTCACCCCCTTTCAGGTTTTCTGAATTTTTGCATGTTTTCACCATTGAATGTTATCCAAGCTTTATGTGGACCCTAGTGCAGGACATTATGTGCTTTTAGATTCTGTGCGGCAGGAGCTCTGCAGTGATGACGAGACCCAAAGACTGAGAGTTTTATAAAGAGCAGGCCAGGCACAAATCAGGCCTGATTTCCTAATAAATCAGCTGGCCCTTGAGTTGAACTGACTGGACTAACAGGCATTACCTTTTTCACACAGGGATATTTGGTGTTGAATGACTGTCAAAGAAATGAAACAAGCATCAAACTTTCACACAACCTCTCTCTATCTTCTGTGTTTAAGACTAAAATGGTTCAGTTCTTTCCACCTGTGTGGCATATTTCGTTAACAGAATCTACTCTTACCAGTTAAACGACAAGCAATACCTTTATTATATGAAGTTACAGCACCATTATCTTTGAAATCAAAGAGAAAAGTTTTTTCTGGTGGATTATTACAATTTATGACATTATTTTCTATTTAATGAAAAAAAACACTTCTAATGGGTCAACCAGAGGTAACCAGGATTTAGTACTGGCTTACACACCAAGACTGGTGAATATTGTGTTGAGAAACCTTCAGTGTCATTGATGTTATACGCTCTGCGTGAAAGTTAGAAACTTGGAGCACTTTCAACTGAGATGTGTATACGTAGCTTCACCAACTGTCAAACTTGATTACATTTTCACTGTACACTTGCCATGGCTTTTCAGAACACTACTTTAGAAAAACACAACGGGATGACCAAGTGCTTTCAAAGAGGTTTTCAAAGACAAAACCATATCAGACTACACTAGAAGTGACTACCACAGATTTTAATCTGCAACGCATATAGCATTTGTCTCTACTAAATTAGCAATAGACAAATAGTGGGGCGCTATCCCTTTGCAGAGAAAAGACTAACCTCCTTCTATCTACTGTGAAATTCTTTCTTGATATATCACAAGAAGGAAGAAAATTAGATCTTATGATTAAGCCTAAAGGTTTTCTTAACCATGTGACATTCATAACTCCTTAAATGTAGTTCATTCATTTTCCTCCAAGCTCACCTGTAGGTACTTTAATCTCAGCAATCATTAAGAAATGAGCACAGGAATTAAATATGATAAGTTTATTGGTGAAATTCAACGCACTGAGACAAAAAAGCAGATAGAATTAAAGTGATTCAATGAACTGATGCAGTACGGTGATATCCATCGGGTGACCTGCACCAAAAAACTTGCAATTTAGCATTGAACCATACTCAAGAGACTAAAAATTAAAATTTACAAAAACATAAAATTAAGGAATGTGTGAATCTGATGAGTAGTCTTCTGTAAATACATGCAAGGGAAAATAATTTTGAATGCCAACACATTGTAATTTAAGAATGCAGATCTACACAAAAACAAAATTACAGAATGGATCAAAACGTCACACAATGTTGGAGTTTCTGATAAATGTACAGTTAAACTGTCTAAATCATCTGTACTGTGAGAATTACACATTGTAGGCACAGGACACCGGATATTGCCTGTTACATGATCAGGGTATACAACGATCTTTTATGAAGGCTGTTGCCAAATTACACCTGACATGTAATTTCCACATAGCTGACCTTGTGAGTAATATAGGAGCGGATGAATTCCTGCAAGCAAACAAGCTTGTTGCAGCCGTGAAATAAGTTTTTAAATACCATCCAACGAGAATGGATTATATGCCAACAGACATGATTGCTGTTAATCTACATGCTTTGTATTAATTACGTATTTGCAGCAATTAAATGACCAACTGAGATGATTAAGGTACCGCAATAAGACCATGGTACGGTTTAATTAGAGTGGCTTTAAAAGAGATTATTGGTGGTCCAGTTCTTGGTGCTGGAGGACTATTTCTAAATTATTCAAGAATAACTCAGGCCCTTATAAGGCCTGCACTAAACAGCTAATCAGTTTTCTGAAGCAATTTTACTGGACTAATTTTGGGGAAAAACATATTGATTATCAGACATTTTAATCAGCAAGGAAGTACTCTACTTACATGCCACATGTCTACAAGTATCATTCATGGAGTACATTTAAATGATCTACATTTTCTTGTTTGTTACTTCGGCTGGCACTGAGCAACATTTACCATGACCAAGACTTGGGTACTCCCGTCTCTCTATAGCACCTGCCCTACCGGATGTGAAACTCTAACTGGACCAGGATCTTTCACTAGAAGATCAGAGATCCCTGACTGATCAACCCAGTGGCCTTAGACACACTGGGACCCCCTCTGCCACTCACCCTGCACGTGTGCTTTCACATGTTGAATAGACACCACCCCCCCCAACACGGCTCACACATATATTGTCATTCAAATACTACCTAACGTACTGCTCACTACACTCCTCAGCTAGCGCCTGGGTGAGGCAAACCATCAGGAGTGGTTACACTGTTGTTCTATGATAAACTAAACCACTTAACAAATCCGTTTGATTTCTTGTTTTGTACAGCACTGTTGATACAGTATGTTTACATAAATGTCAAAGAGCTGTGTGACAACCTGTCGTGAAGCATGTTATATAAAAAAAAACTGAACTCTCTCTTCTCCTTACTTTCTGAATGCAAACTGGGTTTTAGACCCATTCAACCCACATGATAATTAGCAAACAAATGAGCAAAGATCATACAAGCTACAAACAAGGATTTCAGTGACTAGTACAGGAACAATAGGATCTAGAAAAGTCTGCGTTTACTTTCATATTATAGAGTGTAGTGTCGGTCAACGGTAAAAAATCCAAGTTAAATACATGATGATTCCCATTTCATAAGAATAAAATGTGAAAACGTTCAAGGGGGGTGAATACGTTTGATAGACACTGTTTAAAGAAATGTAACTAACACTTTCTCTGCCTGGCATAGGACTACCATAGGATACGTCCTACTATAGCTGACATTTGGACATGTTTGGGGGTGTATACATTAAACAGAAAAGGAAGGGTGTGTAATCTATACAGTTTTAAAACCACTGTTCTAGATCACATAAAATTTAAACTGCATTCCGACACAGCCCTTTTAGAGCTAGTACAGCTTATTTTAGATTCTCTGCTGATTTGATTTCTTAATTAATATTTAGAAGTCCTGGTAGTTTTCAGCAGTAGAATTTGGGAACTGGAGACATCTTTTCCTAAACAACTTACCAAAAACAAAATGTCCATACACAACCATTAAAGCCCCTAAAAGACCTGCAACTTGATTTCTCTGGCCTTCACCTTTTAACCAGCTATTGTAACTCATTTTAACAAATGACAAAGAACTCAACCCAGATAAAACCTGGCAAAGGCAATTCAAACAGGAGGCAGAACCATAGATGAAGAATACCAAAGTAGGCAGACTATGTCAGGCTTGTGTACTAGATCTCTTCATGGATCAATAATGTCCGCTGCACTCATTTCTCATCTGTCCCAGACAATTACAGAACAACCTATGGCCTGTCTCCGATTTTCCTTGGATAATCAGCAGGTATGGTCTCCTTTTATCAAGCAGAACGGAAAGCTTAGTGTCCTTAAAGAAGCATCTGAAAACAAAGCATGCTTCTCCTGGACAACTAAAGAGTCTCAAAGATGATATAGAAGAAAAGCAGAATAAATAAACATCAGCTAGCTCCTGCGAGATTATGGTTCTTGACTTAACCAGATGGAGGAAGCATATCTGGAAAGGAAACTGGCCTGATGAAGTGGTTGTGTACTGTACAATCTTTTCATGGTGCACTCTTTGACACTCCCGGACAGAAAACCAACTTTCGAGATAACAACTGCTTAACCTGCTAGAGTACGGATCCTGTATTGGTCTTATCAGTCACCTTTGGGTTCATGGAAGATAATCATACTCATCCCAATGAATAAACAAGAGACTCAGTATATAATTAGTCATATGAGTTTCTATTAAAAAAATACATTCAAAAATCAAGAAAAAGCCATAATTCTAGCAATACTCATAGTTTACGACATTAATGTTACCACACTTAAAAAGTTAAAGTAAAAAACATTTAAATTCATATCCTGAAAGATCTGTCACCCTGTGGCTCGGTTTTCTCATAACGTAAGAAAAACAGGATGTTAAATTTAAAACCAGGGTAATTTTTTATGAATCCTCATCATCAAAAGAGTCCAACACTGTCACGTGTTTTGTTTTTCATTAAATTAATGAAGCCTGTTCACCCAGAATCACTGGAACAGCACCGGAAACAACCCTCCAGTGAATTTAAGCACCTCAGTGCAAGCTTGACACCAAATCAGTATTGCATTTTCTCGCTCAAATCTGTTTCATTTCCTAGGCTTTGCAAATCCTTTGGAAATACAAAATTGAAATGACACAAGAAAAAAATCTGATTCACATAACATCTATTGCATAGAAAAAAAACACATAGTACATGGTATCTTGTATCCATTAAAAAATACAGCAGGTAATTGTGTCTTGCCCTCGTTGTCATTGCATCGTAATGGCACTCAGCTGGCAATGACCTTTCCTTAAATGAATGACATGCAAAACTTTATCACAGCACTCGTGATGTGAGCAGTATTAGAAATCTGCTTTCTTGAATTATTCTGTCAACTTTGTAGCAGGTTGTTTTTAGTGAATCTTGCAGAAGCACCACAGGCTCTTAAACGTTAGGTCACAAATTCTGCCCTTATATGGAGTGATATAAGATAAAATGTTGCTAAAAAACTGGCAGTCAAACCTAAGAGATAGGAAAAAAGAACTACTCCATAAAAAAACAAACATAAAAAAGACTTGCCCTTAGAGAGCCCACAGCAAGCTCCTAAAACATTTGCATGAGACGTTTAATATGTCCTTTCAGTCACTTATAGCAGATAGGCCATGAAAGGAAAGGGATGTGGGATGTACAGATTCAGACAGATCTATCGTGTGCTGCTTTATGATGAGAAAAATTACAATCTCAGGGCGTTTCCTGAAACAAAGAGATTGTTTCAAAACCCTGTTTAGCTTTTTACAGCATTCTCCAAATCAAGCCATTTCTCTACAAGGGACAAGAGAAAGAATAATTACATGAATCTCTCAATAAGCTCACAGGTAATGATAGGCACAAGTAACCAACTCCTGAGGTTGTTTACTTCAACAGTAGGGAACCTTGGGGTTCTTAACAGCAGCCTAGGGATTTACTATGCCTGTGTGAAGGAACCTGTACATAACATGGTTAAGGACTTGTTATGCTGTGAACAGTGACACCACAGAAAGTCTACTCCGGATCTGTGTCAGATCTATCGACCACCCTGCTTCCATAGACTTCCAAAAAAAGCTCAAGACAGTCTTAAAACTTACCTGATCATGTTCCCAGCACAATGCAGACAGACCAAAAGAAAGCAATGCATCCTTACTCGTCTTGAATTGGAATATACTTCAGCAAAACAGCAACTTGCCTCCCCATGGGGATCATAAAGACACTCTCTCTATTAAGCATTTGTCGAGCAGCATTTATTGCACTTTAAATCTGCAGGAAACAGGGTCTCTTGAAATGCTATAGTTGAACATTATAAAAAGAAGCAATGATGACATTGGGGATTAAAAAATACTTACCTCTTCCACGGAGCAGGGTAAGACCACACGACTGAAAGAGAAAAGAAAGTAGAAGGTCAAATATCAAAACAAAAAGAACATGCGGAACTGCTGAATGATTTTACTTTAGCTTGCCTCCATTACTTTACAGTAAGCTACACGTAGGCCTGCATTCCTGGCTGATGAGTCAGCTCAATGACCACTTTTTGCTTAATTTAAAATAATGACCATTTTTAATCTGCTTATCCTTCTTCTATCTGGTACAAGTTATTAACTAAAGAAAAATCTACTAAATCCAGCAACAAGCTTAAGTCCCCCACCTGCATACTTTTGTAAACAACCAATGAAATGTGTAAGTGTGGCCAGCTGGCCTCACACAAGCACAGTAACTGGGACAAAAGAAACTTCATTTGTGAAGACAAGGGTTTTCTGCAGTTGAGCACAGGAAGGGCACTGTCGGCAAAGCCACAAACAAGTGCTCCTCAGGCGTAACTGGGCTAAAAGAATTAAAATAAAAACCAATGCCGACTGTTGTCAAATAAAATATCAGACTTAAGGGAGAGAAACAACAGGAGCCTCCTTCAGCATTTACATTCCAGGAGTGTAGCAGATAGGCCTGCTGTTGTACATCAAGCCAATCCAGCTCGTCAGTGGTAACAGGAAGTAGGCTTTAATCCAGTAACAATGGGTATTGGTTATTACCAATAAAACAGGGTGTAGTGCTACATGGAGCAACATTCTTGCTGTTTTGTGAAATCCCCCTAATTTGCGGTAAATAAAAACAGGGCTGCGAAATGGTTGTTGCAAGCAGAAGACTTTTGAGAAGTACCAAAGTCCTGTCTTTGGCAATAACAATTCCTGCTGTTAATCTCAGTGAACAACTGATCCTATTTGAGGAGGCGGTCTGGGAAATATATTAACAAAAAATTCAAGTGGATAACTGCACAGCACAAAAGCAACAGCATAAATGACAAAAAAAAAACTCTTGTTCAAATATTATTTAATTTTCTGAGCATCATAAAGTTGGACTGTAGTATCGCCATAACACATAGTCATGTAGAATCAGTTTCAATAAACAGAAAAGATCAGTGTTTCATTTACGTGTGTGGTGTCATTTTAAAAGCTTGGAATTTGTCCTAGGATCAGGTAATTATGCCACCTACTACATATTTTATGTTCCATAGTTCAATTTTGAAGATCCTGGCACCTTTAAACAATACTGAAATATAATACGCACTGTAGTTGTACATAGTGTCTTGTCTCAAAATGTAGACGTTTCTCACAAAACAGGGACCCCTGACATTTTTTTCATGCAGGATCTGCAGCATGCTTTACAGCAAGTGAGCTTTTAGTTTTTCAGGACATGAGAATACTTCTGACCCATTTTCTCACTGTGGAAGGACACCTGTTACTGTAAATACATTCATGATAATTTAAACAGAGAATACATGACTAAAACCTTGTGTCACTCTCAAGTGGTTTGTGCTTTCTGGAT